GATCCACTAGTGCGTTTTTGGGCCAGCGCTAGAGCCGTAGAGACTGCTGCGGCACCCCTTCCGCCGCGCAGGGGGGTCTCCTGCCCCCTCTCCCATCCCCTTTGTCCCCATCTCTCGTGTCGGCAGGAAAAAACCAAAAACGAAGGGAAGAGGATAGCGCGCGAGTTCGAGGAGCTGCGCCGATTTTTGAAGGACCGGGAGCACCTCCTCCTGACCCAGCTGGCCGACCTGGACGGGGCCGTCGCCAGGGCCCGGCAGGGAGCGGTGGCGAAGGTCTCGGAGGAGATGTCCCACCTCGACACCCTCATCTGGGAGATGGAGGGGAAATTCCAGCAGCCGGCGAGCCAGTTCCTGCAGGTGGGAGCCCAAAGCCTCCGGAGCCGGCGGGGGAAAGGAGGGGTAGAGCGAAGCCTGAGACCCGGGAGCCCAAATTCTGCCCCGTGGGGACTCCCTGGGGTCTTCTGGTGTGGCTGGGGGATGGGAAGGGTCTTCTCTGCTATTGCCTCTAAAAACAAAAGTTTTTAGACATTTATTTTTGTTAGAAGAAACGACATTTTTGTTGTTCCTCTTCCCCAACCGTCTCTCCTCTCTCTTCCCACCTTTAGGACATCAAAAGGCTCCGGAATAGGTAACGCGGCTCCTTCTCACTTTCCCCGCGCTCCGGAGAGGTCCGGACGCCCCCGGGGGCAATCCCGAGGTGGGGGTCCCAAAGCGGATGGCTGTAGGCGGGCGCTCAGCCTCCCCTCGCGGTGCTTTGCCTTCGGAAGCGCCCGTTCGACGGCCGCCGGGGGGAAGCAGACTGCAAGGAAACCGGGCAGGGGCCGGGGGCTTGGGTTTGCTCCCGGAGGAACCTCCTCGGTCCCACCCCGCAGCCTCTCCTGCGTTGTTCAACGAGGACAAAAGGAGCCGCCGATTCACCTAGGACAAAGGGACCCGCCGAATCTCCCACGCAGGTTTTTCCGCCTTCTTTGCAGTTGCGAGGTGATGGAATTCAACCCTCCGGTGGAGGTGTCGGCGGCTCTGGAAAGGCGACTGGAGGACTTCGCTCGGAGAAACGTCCTCGTGAGAAGCGCGCTGAGGAGATGCCAAGGTACGGCGCGGGGACAGGAGGGCCACGGGGCTCCCGTGTGCCGG